TAGCTGGGGTGAGAATGACTTCGTTGAACAAGTGGCAGCGCTTGGAGAAACATCGAGGGGTCAGCAAACTAATTGCCTGCAACAGCGATAAAATTTGTCGCTCTGGCTGAGACACTCAGTACAAGATTGTCCTTGCAAGAGCCGTGTAGACTCTACACGTATTGCTAGTGATGCACGCGCAGGTGCGGGACCATGGTATACCAGTGATGCTGAAAAAGAGGGCGCGCTGGACGTGATAGTACACTTACCTGCATGAGCTGTGACCACACAGCTACGGTAAAATAAATGGGCATGCCCCGGCTAAAAAATGTTCGTTTCAAGATCGAGGTGATTTCGCCGACGGTAATCAACCGACCTCGCAACGATCGTGTATTCTTACTAGGCTTCGTTGGTGGTGAAGAAAAAATCATCCAGAGCTAGCAGACAAGCATAGCAGCTCTTGTCCTGTGGAGAAAGTCAAAGCGTTTGAGATGAGGCGCGACCAACTTTCAACCTTCCTTGAAATATTTCGGAACGATATTTTTGCGTCCATTGACATCAGCGACGACGAGGACTTCATCTCTGCATGAAAACTCTCAGTCCAACTGTCCTGGAACGTTACTCTAGTCTTCAGACTATCATACTGTGTAATAAGTTTTGAATGGCTTAGGTTATGGAGTTGTCAGTACCAAGTGACAAGTCACTAGTCAAACTGCAACAATTCCGATGACGCGGAGGAAGTATATTTTCCATTCTTGTTCTCACTATAGTATCCATTCTTGTGTTCATTATATTTTCCATTCTAGTTCTCTTTTTAGTTTCTATTCTTGTTCTCATTATAGTTCCTATTCTTGTTCCCATTATAGTTTCCATTCTTGTTCTCATTATAGTTCCATTCTTGTTCTCATTATAGTTCCATTCTTGTTCTCATTATACTTCCATTTTTGCTCTCATTATAGTTTCTATTCCTGTTCTCATTATAGTTTCCATTCTTATTCTCACTATAGTTTCCTTTATTGTTCTCACTATAGCTCCTATTCTTGTTCTCATCATAGCTTCCATTCTTGTTTTCATTCTTGGTCACATTCTAGTTCCCATTTATGGTCTCATTCTTGTTCTCATTTCCTTTCTCTCTATCTAGTTCTAATTTCTGTTCTTATTCCTCTTTGTTCTCCTTCAGTATCGTATATTGGTGCTTCTAGTTCATTTTCCCATCCTGTTGCTGTTGCTGTTCGCTAGCTGCTCGCTGGCCCCTCTCTTGACCGCTCGCCTGGCCGCTCACCTGGCCGCACGCCTGGCCACTCGCCTGGCCGCTCGCCTAGCCGCTCGCCTGGCCGCTTGCCTGGCCGCTCGGCATAGAGCGCCGGCTCTGAGCGCTTTTGTTGCTGTTGTTTTTGCTGTTTTTGCTGTTGCTGCTGCTGTTGCTGCTGTTGTTGTTGTGGAGATTTCATGTCGATAGAAGTCAACAGGATTCTCTCTGTTGAGCAATGTCGCTCCGGCAGCAGATCTCACAACTTCAGTTGTCATGTTGGTACCGGACATGACCTTTAAATGTGTCCAGAAAGGTAAGCGAAGATTACCAACAAGAGAAGATCCTTGTTATGATAAGTGTTATGATTTTGTAAGGGTCCCATTGTTTACAAACTTCGTCTCACTCATTTACTCGAACCTTTTCTCTTCCTTGATGCTTCTCACTATTGTGCCCAATTTTTTACTCTTTCTTGTCGATATTCTTGCTATGATTCATCTTGTCTTTATTGTTCTCATTATAGTTTCCATTCTTGTTCTCATTATATTTTCCATTCTTGTTCTCATTATAGTTTCCATTCTTGTTCTCATTCATGATAGTTTCCATTCTTGTTCTCGTTCTTGTTCTCATTCTAGTTCCCATTCTTGTTCTCATTCTTGTTCTCAATTCCTTTCTCTCTTTCTAGTTCTAATTTCTGTTCTGATTTCTCTTTATTCTCCTTCATTATCGTATTTTGGTGCTTCTAGTCCTATTTCCCATCCTGTTGCTGTTGCTGATCGCTGGCTGCTCGCGGGCCACTCGGCTGGCCTCTCTCCTGGCCGCTCGACTGGCCGCTCGCCTGGCCCCTCGCCTGGCCGCTCGCCTGGCCCCTCGCCTGGCCGCTCGCCTGGCCGCTCGCCTGGCCGCTCGCCTGGCCGCTCGCCTGGCCGCTCGCCTGGCCGCTCGCCTGGCCGCTCGCAAGGGCGCTCGCCTGGCCGCTCGCCTGGCCGCTCGCCTGGCCGCTCGCCTGGCCGCTCGACAGGCCGCTCGCCAGGCCGCTCGGCCCGCCGCTCGCCCTGCCGCTCGCCTTGCTGCTCGCCTGGCCGCTCGCCTGGCCGCTCTGCTCTGAGCGCCGGGTCTGACCGCCGGGTCTGATATCCGGCCGGCTCTGAGCACCGGCTTTTAGCGCCGGCTTTGAGCGCGGGGTCTGAACGCCGACTCTGAGCGCCGGCTCTGAGCGCCGGCTCTGAGCGCCGGCTCTGAGCGCCGGCTCTGAGCGCCGGCTCTGAGCGCCGGCACTGAGCGCCGGCTCTGAGCGCTTTTGTTGCTGTTGTTGTTGCTGTTGCTAATGCTGCTGCTTTTGTTGCTGTTGTTGTTGTGGAGATGTGATGTCGATAGAACGGTCAACAGGATTCTCTGTGTTGAGCAATGTCGCTCCGGCAGCAGATCTTACAACTTAAGTTGTCATGTTGGTCCCGGACATGACCTTAACCAGTGTCCAGAAGGGTAAGCGAAGATTACTATCCAGAGAAGATCCTTGTTATCATAAGTGTTATGATTTTGTAACGTCCCATTTTTGTTTACAAACTTGGTAATACTCATTCACTCGAACCTATTCTCTTTCTTGATGCTTCTCACTAATGTGCCCGATTTTTATACTCCTTCTTGTCGATACTTTTGCTATGATTCCTCTTGTCTTTCTTGTTCTCATTATAGTTTCCATTCTTGTTCTCATTATAGTTTCCATTCTTGTTCTCATTATAGTTTCCATTCTTGTTCTCACTATAGTTTCCATTCTTGTTCTCATTATAGTTTCCATTCTTGTTCTCATTATAGTTTCCATTCTTGTGTTCATTATATTTTCCATTCTTGTTCTCATTTTAGTTTCTATTCTTGTTCTCATTATAGTTCCTATTCTTGTTCCCATTATAGTTTCCATTATTGTTCTCATTATAGTTCCATTCTTGTTCTCATTATAGTTTCCATTCTTGTTCTCATTATGGTTTCTCTTCTTGTTCTCACTATTGTCCCTATTCCTTTTCTCACTATAGATCCTATTCTTGTTCTCATTATAGTTCCATTCTTGATCTCATTATAGTTCCATTTTTGCTCTCATTATAGTTTCTATTCCTGTTCTCATTATAGTTTCCATTCTTATTCTCACTATAGTTTCCATTATTTTTCTCACTATAGCTCCTATTCTTGTTCTCATCATAGTTTCCATTCTTGTTTTCATTCTTGGTCACATTCTAGTTCCCATTTATGGTCTCATTCTTGTTCTCATTTCCTTTCTCTCTATCTAGTTCTAATTTCTGTTCTTATTTCTCTTTGTTCTCCTTCAGTATCGTATATTGGTGCTTCTAGTTCATTTTCCCATCCTGTTGCTGTTGCTGTTCGCTAGCTGTTCGCTGGCCCCTCTCTTGGCCGCTCGCCTGGCCGCTCACCTGGCCGCTCGCCTGGCCACTCGCCTGGCCGCTCGCCTAGCCGCTCGCCTGGCCGCTGGCCTGGCCGCTCGGCATAGAGCTCCGGCTCTGAGTGCCGGCTCTGAGCGCCGGCTCTGAGCACTTTTGTTGCTGTTGTTTTTGCTGTTTTTGCTGTTGTTGCTGTTGTTGTTGTGGAGATTTCATGTCGATAGAAGTCAACAGGATTCTCTCTGTTGAACAATGTCGCTCCGGCAGCAGATCTCACAACTTCAGGTGTCATGTTGGTCCCGGACATGACCTTAAACTGTGTCCAGAAAGGTAAGCGAAGATTCCATCCAGAGAAGATCCTTGTTATCAAAAGTGTTATGATTATGTACCATCCGATTTTTGGTTACAAACTTGGTCTCATTCCATTACTCGAACTTTTTCTCTTCCTGGATGCTTCTCACTAATGTGCCCAATATTTTACTCTTTCTTGTCGATATTCTTGCTATGATTCATCTTGTCTTTCTTGTTCTCATTATAATTTCCATTCTTGTTCTCATTATAGTTTCCATTCCTGTTCTCATAATAGTTTCCATTCCTGTTTCATTATAGTTTCCATTCTTGTTCTCATTATAGTTTCTATTCTTGTTCTGATTATTGTTCCCATTCTAATTCTCATTCTTGGTCACATTCTAGTTCCCATTCTTGTTCTCATTCTATTTCTGATTTCCTTTCTCTCTTTCTAGTTCCAATTTCTGTTCTGATTTCTCTTTGTTCTCCTTCATTATCGTATTTTGGTGCTTCTAGTTCTTTTACCATCCTGTTGCTGTTGCTGTTGCTGATCGCTGGCTGCTCACTGGCCGCTCGGCTGGCCGCTCTCCTTGCCGTTCGCCTGGCTGCTCGCCTTGCCGCTCGCCTGGCCGCTCGCATGGCCGCTCGCCTGGCCGCTCGCCTGGCCGCTCGCCTGGCCGCTCGCCTGGCCGCTCGCCTGGCCGCTCGCCTGGCCGCTCGCCTGGCCGCTCGCCTGGCCGCTCGCTTGGCCGCTCGGCTGGACGCTCGGCACTGAGCGCCGGCTCTGAGCGCCGGCTCTGAGCGCCAGCTCTGAGCGCCGGCTGTAAGCGCTGGCTCAGAGTGCCCTCTCTAAGCGCCGACTCTGAGCGCCGGATCTGAGCGCCGGCTCTGAGCGCCGGCTCTGAGCGCCGACTCTGAGCGCCGGCTCTGAGCGCCGGCTCTGAGGGCCGGCTCTGAGCGCCGGCTCTGAGCGCCGGCTCTGAGCGCCGGCTCAGAGCGCCGGCTCTGAGCGCCGAGTCTGAGCGCCTGGTCTGATCACCGGCTATGAGCGCCCTGAGAGCCGGTTATGAGCGTTTTTATTGCTGGTGTTGTTGTTATTGTTGTTGTTGTTGTTGTTGTTGTTGCTGTTGCTGTTGCTGTTGCTGTTGTTGCTGTTGTTGTTGTTGTTGTTGTGGAGCCGGCTCTGGGCGCCGGCTGTAAGTGCCGGCTCTGAGCGCCGGCTCTGAGCGCCGGCTCTGAGCGCCGACTCTGAGCGCCGGCTCTGAGCGCCTGCTCTGACCGCCGGCTCTGAGCGCCGGCTCTGAGCGCCGACTCTGAGCACCGGCTCAGAGCGCCAGCTCAGAGCCGACTCTGAGCGCCTGGTCTGATCACCGGCTCTGAGCGCCCTGAGAGTCGGTTATGAGCGTTTTTGTTTCTGTTGCTGTTGTTGTTGTTGTTGTTGTTGCTGCTGTTGCTGTTGCTGCTGCTGTTGTTGCTGTTGTTGTTGTTGTTGTTGTGGAGATGTCATGTCGATAGAAGTCAACAGGATTCTCTCTGTTGAGCAATGTCACTCCGGCAGCAGATCTCACAACTTCAGTAATTCACATGTTGGTCCCGGACATGACCTTAAACTGTGTCCAGAAAGGTAAGCGAAGATTACCATCCAGAGAAGATCCTTGTTATCAAAAGTGTTATGATTATGAACCATCCGATTTTTGGTTACAAACTTGGTCTCATTCCATTGCTCGAACTTTTTCTCTTCCTTGATGCTTCTCACTAATGTGCCCAATTTTTTACTCTTTCTTGTCGATATTCTTGCTATGATTCATCTTGTCTTTCTTGTTCTCATTATAGTTTCCACTCTTGTTCTCATTATAGTTTCCATTCTTGTTCTCATTATAGTTTCTATTCTTGTTCTGATTATTGTTCCCATTCTTGTTCTCATTCTTGGTCACATTCTAGTTCCCATTCTTGTTCTCATTCTATTTCTGATTTCCTTTCTCTCTTTCTAGTTCCAATTTCTGATCTGATTTCTCTTTGTTCTCCTTCATTATCGTATATTGGTGCTTCTAGTTCTTTTCCCATCCTGTTGCTGTTGCTGTTACTGATCGCTGGCTGCTCACTGGCTGCTCGGCTGGCCGCTCTCCTGGCCGTTCGCCTGGCCGCTCGCCTTGCCGCTCGCTTGGCCGCTCGCATTGCCGCTCGCCTGGCCGCTCGCCTGGCCGCTCGCCTTGCCGCTCGCCTGGCCGCTCGCCTGGCCGCTCGCCTGGCCGCTCGCCTGGCCGCTCGGCTGGACGCTCGGCACTGAGCGCCGGCTCTGAGCGCCGGCTGTGAGCGCCAGCTCTGAGCGCCAGCTGTAAGCGCTGGCTCTGAGTGCCGGCTCTAAGCGCCGGCTCTGAGCGCCGGCTCTGAGCGCCGGCTCTGAGCGCCGACTCTGAGCGCCGGCTCTGAGCGCCGGCTCTGAGCGCCGGCTCAGAGCGCCGGCTCTGGGCGCCGACTCTGAGCGCATGGTCTGATCACCGGCTATGAGCGCCCTGAGAGCCGGTTATGAGCGTTTTTATTGCTGGTGTTGTTGTTGTTGTTGTTGCTGTTGCTGTTGCTACTGCTGCTGTTGCTGCTGTTGTTGTTGTTGTTGTTGTTGTTGTTGTGGAGCCGGCTCTGAGCGCCGGCTCTAAGCGCCGGCTCTGAGCGCCGACTCTGAGCGCCTGGTCTGATCACCGGCTCTGAGCGCCCTGAGAGTCGGTTATGAGCGTTTTTGTTGCTGTTGCTGTTGCTGTTGTTGTTGTTGTTGTTGTTGCTGTTGCTGTTGCTGCTGCTGTTGTTGCTGTTGTTGTTGTTGTTGTTGTTGTGGATATGTCATGTCGATAGAAGTCAACAGGATTCTCTCTGTTGAGCAATGTCACTCCGGCAGCAGATCTCACAACTTCAGTTGTCATTTTGGTCCCGGACATGACCTTAAACTGTGTCCAGAAATGTAAGCGAAGATTACCATTCAGAGAAGATCTTTGTCATGATAAGTGTTATGATTATGTACTGTCCCATTTTTGGTTACAAACTTTGTCTCACTCATTTGCTCGAACTTTTTCTCTTCCTTGATGCTTCTCGCTAATGTGCCCAATTTTTTACTCTTTCTTGTCGATATTCTTGCTATGATTCATCTTGTCTTTCTTGTTCTCATTATAGTTTCCATTCTTGTTCTCATTATAGTTTCCATTCTTGTTCTCATTATAGTTTCCATTCTTGTTCTCATTATTGTTCCATTCTTGGTCTCATATTAGTTTCCATGGAGTAGCGCATAATTTGGCGTTCAAAGTTGTGTATAGTAAATGACCATGTCACACGTGCATACTCTCATGTCCTTCATATTTTGCTTTCTTTCGAAACAATGCATTTTTGAGTGCATGCCTGCTCAAATTCGGTGAAATGGGCTGTCGGTGAAATGGGCTGTCGGTGAAATGGGCTGTCGGTGAAATGGGCTGTCGGTGAAAACAGTGCTCTGTGAACTGTCTTTCGGTGAATTGGTTATCCTGTGAAATGGGCTGTCTGTCAAAAAGGTAGTCTGTGAAATGTCATTCAGTGAACTGTCGTTCTGTGAAAAATCAGCGAGTGCGACAAAATGGCAAAAAAACTGACAAGGAGTACTGAGACATTCGGCGACCTGACACCTAGCTCTAACACTTCTCCAAGGCACAAACCAACAACCTTCCAACTTGGAAGGCTCAGGTTCGGAAAGATCCAGGTAAGGTTTAAGCCATTTTGTCGCACTCGCTGACTGTGCATGATCTGTGTGCGTTGGTGAACAGTTTGTCATAACTCGTAACATTTTTCCTTTTCCTTTTTCACCAAATATACAATCATGTAATTGATTTACTAGTTGCTACATAAATCCGTTGATCCCCGGAGCTGCAGAGAGTGCTCAATGTCAGAGGCTGAGCTTAGTACACAGCAGACTCAGCCGAGTTGTAACTCTGAGTTTCATGCCGCTAGGCAATCATCAGAGACAACGGACACTAGGATCTACCCTGCCGTATGCTAAAATACATTATGCCACAAGCATAAATAAATTTAGCGCTAAATCGGGTGATCGGAGGAATTTGTTTGGTTGAGTTGGGTAACTCCGCTCTTCTTCCTCGCTCACCGGAGTAATTTCTCTAGTCTCCTCGCGCAACTGGGGAGCACTCCAATGGAGAGAGAAAGGTTTTCACTGAGCGGCTTGCTGTGAGAGGTGGACTGAGACTTGAGGGCACTAACGGCGAATTTCAAGACCTTACGGCCACGGAGATGCGGGACTCTGCGTTGGTCGTCTATCCGTGTGGAGGCAACGCAAACGCGTTCAACATTCTGCTGAAGCGAGCTCGGAGCTGAAGCTGGATTGGTGACTGACGTACCTGCCTACTCCACAACACCGGCGCATAATGATGTACATGTACAAGACTTCGTGTGCATTCAACTCAAATTCGTGTTCCGTCAGCGTCAGTGTCAGCAAGTACCTGTAGTACAATTTGTTCCCAAAATGACTTCGGGACAGTCTGTTCATGGTTTTCATTAATTTTGTACATTGTATTGGACTCGTTCTTGCGATAATTTAGCGGCAATTCTTATGTTGTAGCGTAGTTCTCTTGTAATTTAGTGGAACCTGTATTGAGTAAATGAGTTTTATGTTTCGTTAGATTGTCGACAGGTCTCCTGTGTACCGGTTTTGTGGCACAATGATTATAGCCATTTGTCGTCTCCATTCTTGTGCAATCATGCATATGTCGGTTGGTTCTCTTCATGTTCTTGCGACCTATTTCATAGATGTTGGTTGCCTTGTTGCTTTCTCTCCCCTCTCCTCTCAACCAAACCATTCTGTATATGCGAAGCTGTGGACGCAGCATACTGCTGCTTCACTTCAAATCGGGAATGCGTATAATAATAATAATAATACAAAAGAGAGAGAGAGAGGTTGGAAGCTTTGTTTCAACTCTGAGTTTCACGTATACAAAAGAGAGAGAGAGATTGGAAGCTTTGTTACAACTCTGAGTTTCACGTACTACTACGATCATCAGGCAACCCCCCTGCCTGATGATCATAGTATTATGTGAAACCTGAGTTGTAACAAAGCTTCCAATCTCTCTCTTGTGTACAAGGCTCTGCCCTACATGGGTATTCATTGACTCTTCAGAAAGTGAATTGAAGCAAACCACTTGACTACAAATAATAATAATAAATCTGGTGACGTTGCCTGAGCCAGCATTCTCCCCATAAATTACGTCTCCAGATTTAGCGCTGAATTTGTTTATGGCCCTATTATGTGTCGATATTCGACGATAAGCATACTGCTGGGTAGATGCGCGAGTATCAGTTCAAGTGTCTGATGATTGCCTAGCAGCAGGAAGCACAGAGTTCAAGTACACTGTACAAACAACCTTTACGTCATCCGCTTAGTCTGCTATGTACCGTAGTTGGAAGATATGTGGGCGCCGCGCTCCCCCGCACATCAGCTCTCAATACGTGCTACAGCTGGGAGTATTAGTAGCTGGAAACGCACCCGTGGCACCATAACTACATTCGTCGCGTTGAGAAAGGTTAGCTCTGCTCTCTGTATTTCTTTGACTTTTTTGGAAGGCGCACAGCTATTTTGTGTCTACATGTATGTTTGTTTGTTTGTTTGTTTATTTACGGATTCTCCAGAGGTACATGGATACCTATCATGGGAGTCTCACCAAACCAATAAAGTAATGAAAATAAAATCATGTATGGAGTGTAAAAAACTCAAAATCTTAGATTTTCTAAGTCAAATGTATCAGTGTATTGTAGCGTACAGGCCACTTACTTTCAAGTTTCAACACCATTATTTACGAAAGGAAACAGTAGAACTTTGAGGCGAAAGTAGAAGGAGAAAAAGCCACACGGGTTGTTCAAATGGAGATTTTGAGTATTCCAAGATGGCGGAAGACAAGTGCCGCTACTTGTATGTACATTCAATTTCTATTACTGGTTAAATTTTCGTCTAATGATCGATTCAGTTCGTGAAACTCAAAGTTACGAAACAGCAACTGCTCGTTCTTCTGTCTGTGCATGTACAGGTTTATGAAGGATAGGCTGGACGTTCCTTGACACTGGAAGAACTGAAGGACTACTGAACAGCTGCAGTGAATACGCTCTGTTTGTTTTCTCCTTCACTAGGAAGTCCTCAGAATTTCTTTTCCAACTGGCTGTAACCGTGTGCTTCAGTTGAGTGAGTTCTATTATCACAACACACACTTAGCGAGATCCACTAGAAATATCTTAGATGGAAAGGTGTACCTAAAACTCACTACATGTAGGAGCAGTCGCTCTGCGAACGTCTTCAGAACGTTTGACGGCATTTGATATCAGCTATACTGCCCTATACTAGTTGGGAGACGTGTGGGCGTACATTGCAGTAATGTCTGGCGCCACATAATGTAGCGCGGAAGAGCGAATAGCGTAGAATCAAGCTCATCAAGCTCAGTACATGACAGTGTGTGGGCGTACAAGTACAGTGCAGTAGTTTTGGACGCCACACAATTTAGCGGTAGAATGACCAGCCTAGCACCGAGCTTAATCATTATGAGTAGTACTCTTTCATAACCGCCTAAAGGTTTCTCGTCTTGTTCTCAGGTACACGTTTCCTACTAGTATAAGGACGCTTTCGAGACTGCATACGGATTTCTCTGTCTTATTCGCAGGTAAGTTTCCTATATTGCTCTTCCTTGGCTGCACACAGTTTTCTCGTCTTGTTCTCAGTTACGTTTTCTGTATGCTCTTTCGTTACTGCATACAGGTTTCTAGCCTTTTTCGCGGACAAGGTTCCAATTTCACTCGCTTCTCGTCTTGTTCACAGGTAAGCTTCTTATAATTATTGTATTTTATTGACTGCCTACAGGTCTCCTGTTTTCTCGCAGGTACGTTTACTATACAGCTTTTCTGGACTGGAAATAGGAGCCTACGGTGTCTCGTCTTGTTCACAGGTAAGTTTCCTTTCCAGCTCTTTCTTGAATGCACAGAGTGTTTCGTAATGTTCTCAGTTCAGAGTGCTATAATTCTTTTTCCTTACTGAATACAAGTGTCTTGCCTTGTGTGCAGGCAGATGTTTCCTATAAATGTTCATATTTCATACCTGTATACAAGTTTCGAGTCTTGTCCATGGGCAAGTTCCATTAAATTTATCCATTCATTGATCTTTCATGACTGCAAATACCTTTCCCGTCTTGATTTAAGTTGAGCTCTCTATATGCTCTACTGCTCTTTCCTTACTGCATGCAGGGGTATCGCCTTTTTCGCTGTTGAGATTCCTTGTTACTAGTACTCTTTCCTGACTGCGTGCAGATTTCTCGTCACGTTCACAGGTAAGCTTCCTATTATGCATTTTCCGAACTGCATACAAGTGTCTCGTCTTGTGTGCAGGCAAAATTTTCCTATTTTCAATATTATTTCATGGCTCCAAACAGGATTCGTGTCTTGCTCACAGGTAAGTTCCCTTCATTGATCTTTCATGACTGTATACAGGTGTCTTGTGTTGTTGGCAGGACAGTTTCCTATTTTGCTCTTCCTACATTGAATACAGGCTTCTTATCTTGTTCGCAGCTAGAGGTTTTCACATATTACTCTTGCTTGACTTAATACTGGTATATTTGTCTTGTTTACAGGTAGAAGTTTCCAATGATGTCTCTTTCGAGACTCCATAAAGATGTTACGCCTTTTGACAGGTAAGATCCTATAATAGCTCCTGTTGGCCTGCATACACTTTCCCCGTCTCGTTGTGAGCTAAGTTATCATTAATTTGTTGATGTCAACACTGGCCACTGCACTAGTAGTTGGTGGTGGACGTGTGGGGGCGCAGTAGCCCTGATGATT